CACTGCAGCGCTATCGACGAACCACCGTTTAACCAATCACGCGCTTACGCGACCAATAGGCCCCGACACGAATCAATCTGTCGCTTCGATGCACGCGCACTCCGAGTACACCGCACATACTTCGCGCGCATCACGGCGAACAGCACATAACACCTGCCAACAAGCGAGCTAGGCGAATCAACACTGCTGTTATTTTGTTAGCGCAAAATAGCAGACGCGGCCGGATATATAAATCCGGTCGATCCACGATAAGACAGACCAGACCGATTCGATTCTACGACCTGTTCACATCTCCGACCGATATTAATAAACCAGGCATTCCTGATCTCCACCGAGCATACTCGACACCAGGTATCATCTATTCACAAAGATGAAAAAATCGGGACAAAGTATTCTTAGTCCTCGTCAAGCATACTTGACTCTCGTTTCCCTCGAGACAGAGCATTCTCAGTCTCAACGCTTTCTTACTAACGATACGAGCAAACCGGATCGGAACATTCTTAGTCTCCGATAAGCATACTTGTCATTTATTCCTTCTATCTTCCACTCTGAGATAGAGCATTCTCGGTCTCATCAATCCCGCTTATACACGAGCATACGGGACGGAATATTCTCAGTCCCCAACAAGCATTATCTCTCGTGCAAAATTTACGAACCAGAGCAAGCATTCTCCCTCCTGACATTCAAACGCACATCGACCACGCGAAAATATTGCGGCACGCACTGCGAGCGCTATCGCCGAATCACGCTCGATCACGTACCTACGCGACCAGTAGGCCCCGATGCGAGCCAATCTCTTGCCCCGACGCACGTGTCGTGCGCATTGCGCATACTTCGCCCGCACCGAGAATCTCACGGCGAACCAACACCGCTATGTATCCACCTGGATTAATTCAAATAAATATACACTCTTTTAACAAAACATCCGAGTTAAATAATTTTATTAATTACCGAATCCGGCAACCGATGAGCATGTCCGCGCATCCGAACTCGCACAACACGCCCGGCGAGGATGAATCGTTATAATAATAAATTTAGATTTACAAAATAAATAGAAAATATTTTTCTTTTATTATTAAAAAAGCTAACCAAAAATGTTATATTAATGTTTAATTTTAAGCATTTATTTCGTTAAAGATAAAGATTTTTTAAAATTATTTTATGATTTAAAGAATGTTTTGAATTTTATTTTATACATTTATTTCGTTAAAAAATATTTTTGTTATTATTTTTTTAGTTTAGAGATGAATGAAAGTAGAATGTATGTTCTGAATTTATGTTTAAAAAATTTGTTTTTTTTTTAATATTTGAACATTATATGTTTCAAAATATGTTTCAAAAATATTATGTTTCTTTAATATTACTTTTTAAGAATATTCTTAAAAAAGGTTTTTTAGTTTATTTACTACTTTAGTTTATGTCTAGTCTTTAATTTGTTTTATTGTAAAAATAAAGGTTTACAATAAAGAATGATTTATAATATTTAATTAAGATTTGTTTAATATTTTTATTCAATAATTACACAATTTACAGTCAATACGT